AACACTGATCTTTGGGGAGACGTATCCGCTTTCAACGGTAGCTACTTCTTCTACTCAAACATTAGCGGCTATGGCGACTCAAATATTATGGAGATCCGTGCGACACAGGACGCTTTTGCAGGCGCGGTGCTCGAAGTTGGTGCAGATCGCAACATGTCGGATTCGTTCGACCTATTTCGCATCACCATAGATGATGGTCCCTTACCTCGAGAAGTATTTGCCGTTACAGGCCAAGGTCACACTATGATAAAGCGCGGTGGACTCAGCGTTACAGGCACGACCACCCTGAAAGCGGGGGGTCTTCTCGTCAATGCTGGCGGCGCTACTATCAGCGCTGGAGGGCTCACGGTCTCAAATGTCGGTATCACATCAGCTGGATCCCTGACTCTTACTTCCGGATCTATTACCGCCTCTGCCGGAACTCTGACCGTCTCTGGTATCTATTCAGCCGGCGCAATAACTACCACGACCACATTTACAGCTGCTGGGTTGGCCACGACTGCCTCGCTCACTGTCCTCACAGGCTCTATCACAGCCTCCGCTGGCACGTTGACAGTCGCTGGCATCTACTCGGCAGGTGCAATCACCACCACGGCTACGTTTTCAGCGACCGGTTTAACATCGACTACGTCACTCACCGTGACGAGCGGGTCAATAACAGCATCTAGTGGGACACTCACAGTCGCCGGCGTGAGCAGCGCCCAGGCCATCACGGGGACGACGACGCTGTACGCGGCCGGCATGGAAAGCACCGCCGCGGTGACGGCCGCGACGACGATCTACGGTGCCGGCATCCACAGCTCCGCCGCGATGACGGCCGCGACGACGGTGTATGCGGCTGGCGTAGCATCGTCGGCATCCCTGACCGTGAGCGCGGGGTCGCTCACTGCTTCGTCTGGCACCTTGACCGTCGCCGGTATGAGCAGCGCCCAGGCCATCACGGGGACGACGACGCTGTACGCGGCCGGCATGGAAAGCACCGCCGCGGTGACGGCCGCGACGACGATCTACGGTGCCGGCATCCACAGCTCCGCCGCGATGACGGCCGCGACGACGGTGTATGCGGCTGGCGTAGCATCGTCGGCATCCCTGACCGTGAGCGCGGGGTCGCTCACTGCTTCGTCTGGCACCTTGACCGTCGCCGGTATGAGCAGCGCCCAGGCCATCACGGGGACGACGACGCTGTACGCGGCCGGCATGGAAAGCACCGCCGCGGTGACGGCCGCGACGACGATCTACGGTGCCGGCATCCACAGCTCCGCCGCGATGACGGCCGCGACGACGGTGTATGCGGCTGGCGTAGCATCGTCGGCATCCCTGACCGTGAGCGCGGGGTCGCTCACTGCTTCGTCTGGCACCTTGACCGTCGCCGGTATGAGCAGCGCCCAGGCCATCACGGGGACGACGACGCTGTACGCGGCCGGCATGGAAAGCACCGCCGCGGTGACGGCCGCGACGACGATCTACGGTGCCGGCATCCACAGCTCCGCCGCGATGACGGCCGCGACGACGGTGTATGCGGCTGGCGTAGCATCGTCGGCATCCCTGACCGTGAGCGCGGGGTCGCTCACTGCTTCGTCTGGCACCTTGACCGTCGCCGGTATGAGCAGCGCCCAGGCCATCACGGGGACGACGACGCTGTACGCGGCCGGCATGGAAAGCACCGCCGCGGTGACGGCCGCGACGACGATCTACGGTGCCGGCATCCACAGCTCCGCCGCGATGACGGCCGCGACGACGGTGTATGCGGCCGGCGTAGCATCGTCGGCATCCCTGACCGTGAGCGCGGGGTCGCTCACTGCTTCGTCTGGCACCTTGACCGTCGCCGGTATGAGCAGCGCCCAGGCAATCACAGGGACGACGACGCTGTACGCGGCCGGCATGGAAAGCACCGCCGCGGTGACGGCCGCGGGGGATCCTCAGAGTCA